TGCGTGTGTTTTAAGAGGGTCCCTGCCCGCCTTATATAGTCTGGGAGGCAGGGTTACAAGTCGGTTAGATCTAAGAGATAACCGAAAAGTAATAACAGATTACATGAATCATGGGATCGAACGTATCCTAACAGATCTCGTAGTATTTTCATAATATCTTCCCGGTGTCTTGCGGGGCACGCCGAGCAGCGCCGTGCTCCGCAAGGCTTCGTCTTGTGGGCTAGACCACCCCTAGAGGCGCAGCACATGTAGTCTGTCGTGGGTATCCGGGGTCGTACCCCCCACAGCTAGTCCCCGAGCTACTTGTATCCGCTGTGCAATGCCGTCTTGATCTTGTCCGAGCAGGTGTGAACAAAGCCGAACAGTCAGACTCATAGTCTGACTACCATAATGAGTCGTCGAGCAGTTGTGAACCGTCGCCGAGCAGAGTATCCCAAGTAAAGCTTGCCAGAAGGATGTAAGGAGCTCAAGTTCAAAATCAAAAAAATTCTCGCTTTGAACCAAGTGTGCCCACTTAGAGTCCGACCACGAGAAAGGGAGGTAATCGTCTTCAACTTCAGGAGGCACAGAGTCTTCCAGATTAGAGAAAACACACTCACCGCAAGATGAAATATGCCCAGTTAGTCCCCGAGCCTAACAGTAGGTGACGTAGTCACGTGGTGCCAGGGTCCAGAAAGTAGAAGAAAAGCAAAAGACCAGCCAAGCAAGCAACCAGTCCACGGGCGGAGCCCTGAAAAGCGCACAGTCACCGCAAGGTGAAGTGTGCCCATTTAGTCTCCTAACCTAACAGTAGGTGACGTGGTCACGTGGTGCCAGGGTTAGAAACAACAGTAACCAGAAGAAAGTCCCCAGTATGGTGAGGAACTAAGTCATAATGATGACGTAGTCCCCGAGCCGCAAGTGGAAATCTCGGATGAATCAAATCGTGGAGAAAAAGCCGGAGTAATGGCTGTACAGTAGAAATTACTGAGCCTTGATGGTATTGCAGAAAAGTCGACGAATATTCGGTGTGCAGTTCCAAGTTACGTCGGAGAATAGGCGATATGGGCCGTAGTTGCGCGGAAGCCCAGATAATGGGCCAGCACGTTGCTAGCGTAGCCGACGATGAAGCGACGAACAATCCGACCAGTTGGTTGGCGAAGAAACGAGCGCCGAGCAGCCCAACCAACTGGTCGGCGGTGAAGTGAGCGTTGAGTAGAAGTGACCGGCGAACAGTCCGATCAACTGGTCGGCGATGAAGTCCATAATCCTAGCGGTCCGACCAGTTGATCGGTGGAGAAATCCAAGCATCAGGTGGTCCGACCACTTGGGCGATGATCCACCAAGGGAGTCCCCAGCTTAGCCGGTGACTATTGCACGAAGAACTCGAACGGCGAGGAGTCCACGGCTTAGCTGGTGACGCTTGCACGAAGAATCCAAACACCGAGGAGTCCCCAGCGTAGCTGGCGACCCCCGGCGTAGCTGACGATGAAGTACATGCGATGAGCAGTCTAACCAACTGGTCGGCGGCGAAGTGAACGCCAAGCAGGATTGAGTTCCGAGCAGTCCGACCAGTTGGTTGGCGGTGAAGTCCGTCCAATAGGTGGTCCGACCACCCAGAGAATGATCATCTTGTCCGGTCTCTGAGCGTAAGCTCGTTGACCGAGCCGTGCCCCTGCGAAACAAATGTGTAGAATAGGTAGTATAAGATGTAAAAATAAAATATATGAACTCTGAAGAAGAATCAGCAATGGTGATGAAATAGCGTATGCAGCTCGACGATCAGTTGGTGTGAACACTTAGTGTTATTCTGAAGATGTGTTTATATTTAATATAAATCGTCTGGCCAGTTAGCGTGTAGCTGAGTCTCTAGCCCTAGCTAGCCTGTTAACCATAACGCGGAGCGCGGAGCCCGTGCGCGTGTAGGAAGAACAGGGCGTCGCTAAGGAGCCGCTGCCGACCACTCATAACGCAGAGGGCAGACGCTCGTGCACATGTAGGAAGGAGCCGGAGATAGGGCCGTCTCTAGGGACATCCGAGCGTCAACATGACTGTTCGGGGATTTGCCTTAGACTTAGCTGTATGTCATCTTTAAGATGGTATACATGAAAGAAAATCGTTTGGTGAATAAACATGGAGAAAACAGCTCGAAGAAACATCATTGCGATATATGATGATTGGAGAATATTTAGAAGAATATTAAAGCGTGATATAGTTTTAGACAGAACGTCTGGTCGGTGGCGTATGGCGTTATCTGGTCGGCGTGTACGAAATTGCCCGGCCCTCGAGCTTTCCGAACTGTCATCATGGCGGCGGTCTCGGTTGTCACGGCGCCGTTCTTCGCGGCGATCATCATTGCGAGGAGGCAGGTGGTCGGAGCGAGTAGTCCTGGCGATGTCGTCCTTATATTACTGGTTGGCGACGCGGGCAGCTCGCTTGATCGCTCGGACGGTTCGTTTGACAGCTCGGACGGGTACGCGGAGTCGTCGGCGAACGAACGTAATCAAAGCCTGACGGAGCCAATCCAGGTTGGGAGACGAAGTCCTTGGACGTGTCTGACTAAAACGTAGTCGGGCTTATGCACCAAGACGAGAACACGAGCGCGGCGAAATTGTCCGTGAGAACGTCCAAAGTAGATGCATGTATACTTGCAAGTACTCGTGGCTTGCATGATGATCTAGCTAGCTTGGCTATGCAAGTCATCAATATCCTGAGTATTTGCTATTGGCTTGCATATCCGATTGTGGATCCTTGTTCGTGTTGATGCAGACATGCAGATGGCCAGCGCCGCCTATCGTTGCGTGCCGAGATTGCCGACTCGAATCTGCTTGGTCCGAGCTTTAATTCCACAAGGGACGTACGTATCTGAATTGGAAATTGACGAGCAGCCCAACCGATATTGCTTCGCTGTTAAGCTTGATCAATCACACAATCACGCTGAACGTCGGGGGATGTCGTTGAGTTGCCGCCGTATAGTAGATTGATTCCGTCGCCGGCAAAAATCATGGTGGAATTGAGGTTCGCCATCTTGTTCACCGCCCCTCCCCGACACGCAACTATCGACAGAATATCATCGGCAGCCCTCCGAGGATATCCTATGAAGGTAGATTGATCGGCAGAGATGCATGTAATCGAGAACAAGAAGACAACAGAGACATAAAAGTTAGACAGGTTCAGACCGTCAGCGCGACGTAATACCCTACTCCTGTGATTTGTTGGATTGTATTGGCTATCGTATAATATTGCGTGTGTTTTAAGAGGGTCCCTACCCGCCTTATATAGTCTAGGGGGTAAGGTTACAAGTCGGTTAAATCTAGGAGATAACCGAAAAGTAATAACAGATTACATGAATCATGGGATCAAACGTATCCTTACAGATTTCGTAGCATCTTCAGGATATCTTCCCGGTGTCTTGCGGGGCGCGCCGAGCAGCGCCGTGCTCCGCAAGGCTTCGTCTTGTGGGCTAGACAACCCCTGGGAGCACAGTCCATGTAGTCTGGCGTGGGTATCCGGGGTCGTACCCCCACATGCACGTTACACATATAGCACAAAACACTTGACCTCCGATTCAATAGTGTTATTTATTACACCATAGGCAATGCTGGATCATGTGATTCCAGAACATATACAACTGTGGCTATTTTCAGTTGCACACATTGGTACATCAATATTGTGCAGTTGTCAAGTGAAAACAAAATCAACATAAAGATAGGGGTGTTAACACATTTCACTAGTCCCATACCTGCAGAAGGAAATGGGGAGTGCAATAGAGTAATTTCTTATACCTGATAACAACACATGACAAGCTAATACAAATTCATGGCATGCGTTTTTTTCGCCTGTAGAAGGAAATTGAGAGTGCAACAGAGTAATTTCTTGTACCTGATAACAACACAAAACAAGCAAATACGGATTCATGGCATGCGGTTTTTATTTTTGAGAACAAGTACATATGTTTTTCAAACAAGAACCAGCATGGCAAGCATGACATTTTAGACTGAAAGTGGCTGAAAAATACTGTTCCGACTGAATTGTTGTGAGAGAAAAAACACTGTCCCGGCTGAAAAAAAAAGCCGAACAAGCCAAACTTTAAGACAAGCGAACGGGGCCTAATTATTCTTCTTCTTATTTATTTCCTTATTAGTTCCATCTGTTTTTCAGTCTCAAATAAGCACAGCTTTGATATCCATAGAAAAGAAGGGGCAAAACAAAATGATTGGGACATAGAAGACCTCTCTTTTGTAGCTTTTTCTCAGTATGTTTTTTGTCTACTATCAACTACTCAGGGTCCGGGGCCACGAACACAACTAGGAAAAAGAGGCCTTTCAAAAGGACAACATCCTAAAGTGGTGTGTACCGGGAAAATAGTCACACAATCGAAAATTTGAAACATTCCTTCCAGATAGCATCCATTTTCTAACTTACTGATCATATACTAAAATAGTAACAAAGTGTAAATCTTATGGAGGAATCAACAATGCCACTTTAGCGGTTCATCTTTATATTGGTTTCAACAGCTGAAAAGAACTGTGCCATGGAGAAGACTTGAAGTTTTCTTTTGAATTTGTAACAGCATGATATTACCATATTACAAAATCATGTGGTACACGAGAGTCATATAAATCTTTTTACACCTAATCCACAAAGCATAGACCTTCGGATAATTGTTAACAATGAAAAGGGTAACAAAAGCTGGTGCAAAACAGGAATGCCATGAGTTCCAACTATCCAATGTTACTGAAAGAATTTCCTATATGGACATGCTACTTGCAAAATTTATATAATAATAGTGTACCAAATGAACAACTTCTCTTACAGAGTAGGAACCACTGGGCCGATTGACAGCTTCAGAAAGATCCCAAAATGTATTCATATTTGCCATCTTTGATTGAAGATCACCAAATTTATACTCACATCTATCAGGACAGCAGAAATCGAGCCCAGAGGCCAGCTTCCTTGTGAAGAATAAAAGAATAAATAGCAACATCAGCTAGTTGAATACCTGAGGAGGTACAAGTCCTTCATCCATGTGATCTCCTCCTGTTATGTGGGGAAGGAGGAACACCCTCAAAGAAATCACCCACTGCTATCTCAAGGTCCTCAACAGAGTACTTAATGTACAGCTCTGGATGCTTCCCATTCTCTATATGATGTCGAAACCTGCCAAGGAATGACCGGTATGCTGGCAGCAGCTTCTCAGCAATTGAGATCCTGAGCTCCTCCCTCAGCTGGTTGTCTGGCACACACCACCCCGACTGCACCCTATGTGCATCCTCAAATGCAGCATTGAAGGACTTGAACCGCTCCCGCAGCGCCGACTTGGATATCCCTGACGAAAAGCCACCACTTACATGGAGCCCCTCATCACGCAAACAATTCAAGATCTTCAACCATGAGGTGCGCTGGTAGTTTGTGGCTGCCACTGTGAACTTGCCAGTAAGCCGTTTCAAGTAATCATCACCGATCATGCCCCAGAGATCCGGCGAATCTTTCACCTTGTGTACAATGTAGTGTACATTGTTCATCATGAACAGATGCGAGAGAGCTGGATCCTTGTAGAGTGCGGCCTTGCCCTCCAGGTTGTGTTCAAGAACAACAATGATCCAGACAATGTGAGAGGCAAGTGGCAACTGGTTCTCAAGCTCAGGGAGCTCGAGGTCGGCCAAGGACGGCGCGAGCTCATTGCCCTCAGCAGAAAGACGAGCGCTAGCTGATGGGCGCGATATGATGAGCTCGGAGAGCGTGACCTTGTAGTCGCAAATGAGGCTGCTATAGTTCATCACATACCGAGTGAGCGGGTGGATGGTACCGCCAGGCACCGCCGTCTTGGGCGGGTCGCGGAGCACGGCGTTCTCGAACTCCGAGAGTATCCCTCTGACGGCATCGGCGAGGCGCGACCGGATCTCAACGGCCTGCACGTATATGGACTCCGCGACCTTGGAGGCGGCGAAGATGTCGGAGACGTCGGGGAGGAGGTCCGAGAGCGCGTCGTGGAGGTCTATGATCTTGAAGAGCTTCTCAGGGGAGCGGCGGCCGATGCTGATGGCCTCGGCGAAGCCGAAGAGCTGCAGCGCGGCGCCCTTGACTGCCTCGGCGAAGGGGGTGTCGTGCGTGGCGGGCGCTGAGGCGGTGGAGATGGTGGCGCTGGAGATGGGAAGGTCGTGGAAGATGTGGAAGCAGAGGCGGCGCTCGCTGGCGAAGACGCCGCGAACGGCGGCGCGGGCGGCGCGGATCCACCGGCGGATCTTGGCCTCGAGCGCGTCCCACTCGAGGCGCTGGACGTCGCCGATGCTGAGGCGCTCGACGCCGAGCCGGCGCAGGGAGGCGTCGACGGCGGGCTTGTGGACGGAGGCGTACACCTGTGCGCACTCGCGGCCGTACCCGGCGGCGGCCATGCGGGACGCGATGGCGCGGAGGTCCGCGACGGCGTCGTCGGGCAGCAGGTCGATCTCCCGGATGCTCCGGAGCGAGCGGTAGGCGGTGCTGCGGCGACCGATGGAGGAGGACACGGAGTCGTCCTCGTCGGCGGCTGCGGCGGCGGGGAGGTCGGCGGAGGAGGCGGAGTTGGAGCGGTCGCTGTTGATGGAGAGCGAGCTGAGGTCGGCGAGCGCCTCGATCTCGAGGTCGAGGGCGCGCGACGACAGCACGTGGCGGAACTCGTCCTCGAGCCGCGCCATGGCGACCTGCACGGCGCCGCTCCACGCCGCCGAGGACGCCGAGGACGACGAGAGGCGGCGCGGGCTGCCGACGGCCGCAGGCGACGGCGGCGCGAGCCGGCGCAGGTCGTCGACGGCGCGGAGGAACCGGTCGGCCTCGGCCCGGTCCCCACCACCGTCGAACAACATCGGCTCGTCCGCGCCGGCGCCAGCCGAGGCCGAGTCCCACCGCATCACCACCCGCTCCGCCGCCTCCAGCTCCGCGGCCGATCCGTCCATGGCTGGCAAGCTGGGTTGAATCCTCGCCTCCACCACCTCTCCTCTTCCTCGATCCGAAGCCCGAAGCTGGCTTGGCTGGCTGGCTCTGCCGCGGCGGCGCGAATCCGGGAAGCCGCACGTGTCGGCGCGCGCGCGTGGGTGTGCGCGATGGCGCACGGGGCAGGGGCAGAGGGGGAAGTGATATAGAAGTGGAGGCGACTGAGGAGGCGAGGCGAGCTGGCTCCACTCTGTGCTGCTGCTCAGCTCAGCTCCGGTTCGCGCGAGACAGGCAAGCGCCCTCCGCTTCGTTCGGTTCTGTGGGTGCTCGCGGTGATTGTGAATATAGTTGTCCAAATGGGCCAGGCCCGCTGGGCCGGCACGGGTCCAGTGCGAAAAAGCACGGCCCTAGCCCGGTGCGGCACGGCAGGCCTCGTGCCCGTGCCTGGGCCGCCACACCGGCCCGTAGTGCTAGCCCAGGCATGGCATGGAAATTGAGCCGGCATGACGCAGCCTGATAATTCTAGCCATTGGATGATTCAGGAGATTTCGTAGCCATCGGATGAGAGTATATGATGATCAAAACCCTAACTCCCAATTTCCAAATCACTTCCCGTAGCCTCCTCCCTGTGGTCGTCATCTCCTGTCCTCCCCATGTTCGACTCCTCCTCCTGCCCCGGCGGTCCCCATGGCGGCTCCTCCTCCTCCTGTACTCCCGATGGCGGCTCCTCCTTCTCCTCCCGTACTCCCCATGGCAGCTCGACGGCGTGGCGACCTCGTCGCGGCGACGCGAACTCCCTTCTCCAGTACTCCCATGGCCGCTCGACCAGGGGCGCATCCGTGCGGGATCTGCAGCGGCGGCGCAGCAACGGCGAGCCTAGGTGTGGGATCTACAACGGCTGCACGGAGGCGGCGGCGTGCGTCCGCGCGGCGTGCTGCTGCTGCTCCACGGTGCGACAACGGCGCTCCACGCCGCGCGGCTGCTGTTCGACGGCGCAGCGACGGTGCTCGAGCTGGTACGGTGGGCTACCGTGCCCATCGGCACGGCTAAGAGGCTGTAGTGCCGTGTCTGGGCCAAGATGGCGGCACTGTTAGGCACGGCACGGCTAAGCTGCCGTGTCGCATAGTGTCGTGCCTGGCCAGGCCGTGCCTAGCCGTGCCCGTGCCGGTGCCGTGCCGTGCGGCCCGGTTGGCCATGTATAATTGTGAACTTCTTTTTGTTTGGACTCGCGACGACCAGGGAGCGAGAGCTATGAGCCCACGACCTTTCTTTTTTTCCCTTTTCTTTCTTTCTTTTATTTTAATCCAAAAGCCTTACTTCTTTATATTATTTGTAGCAAAAAAAAAAAGAGCCAATAGCTTATATTACTCATGCAAATAGTTTCCCAAAGTCTTCTCACAAAATGCTTCTAGAATTTTCTTTTACATAGAGCAATTTTTTGAACAAATTTATAAACTTTTTCATAAAAGATATTTAAAACTGACAAAATTGAAATCTAAGAAAGATCTTTTTTGAAAGAAAAATTAATTAAAAAGTGCCAAAAATGTTAGACCATAATTCTAGAGTAAAAAAATAGAGCTTTATAGGAGAAAAAATATTTTTCTTTTGAGTTCTAAAGACTTTCTTCGTCTAAGTATACTAAAAAACACCAAGGGACTATTTAGTAGAACTACCCCTGCTCCTAATTCTTCACGAGAAGTGATTCTATGGCTAAAAGTGATTCTCTATAGTTCTTTAGGATAAACACGCTCGCACACATGCACATATTGTGAACAACTCGCTAGAGGAATTTAACATATATATGCAATCAAATAAGCGGTGTTAAATAGTTTCTTGTTAACTGCAAAAGTAACATACTTAATTTACTTTTATTTCAATTTTCTTAGCTAAATTATCTTCAGTTAAAATAACCTCTTATAATTAAAAAAACAAATGAAAAACTTAGTTTTTATAGGTATCTTAGTACGTCATATATCCTATGCAACCTTGATGCCGTTGTTTATAGATGGTTATATATTGAATGGACAGTAAAGTAACCATTCTTTTTGCAAGAATCATGATAAAGCGTCTCTGCCCTCTTGTACGTTAATATTCGCCAACCTTACAACTAATTTTTCCCCCATTCTATTAACTTATTCCTTGTTAACACCCTTAAAAAAGGAGACATTAAGTGGAATAGTGCTAACCCCCTGTTTAGTAGAGCTCCAGCCAGTTTTGACTCCTCTCCCTGCACTACATCAAGGAGTTGTTTTTATCTCTTCTCTCAAAATGAACCAGGAGTTGTAGAATGCACTATTTTTAGCTTCACCAACTCTGACTCTTCCATGCATTGTAGCAAGAAACCAGAGCCATTTAAAGTTGTACCAAACGGGGCATAAAAACATCAGGCGGTCCTTGCTTCTTATTTATTATGCTATAATATGTTTCTTGTGAATTATGGAATAATATGGAGGCATGAAGGCCACACTTAGTGTAAGACCTCCTAAGCAAGAGTCGTCCCAAAGCCTAATATATTATACATGAGCCATCTTTCAGGCTAAGTTTACCTAGACTCAAGAACTGATCCTTCACTCCTATCAATCCCATCCGCTAGTGTGAGTCGCCTGTTTTTTCTGTTAACCTGTGTCAAAGGTCTTTCTTACTTATTCCTTGTGAGGTTTTGTCACACGCCATCTTCATTGAAGGGCTTAAAAATCCACATAGTTAGGAAGGACTTGTATATTGATTATCATAGGTTATGTATTACTAATCCGCTTTGCTCTTTTGGCTAGCAAACTAAAGGCCATCTCACTAGTCTATATTTCCTTAGAACTCGTTGGGACCTAAAACAAGAGAGCATAAACATTGAAAGACTAGACAAAACAGAATTAAATCAGCACTAATTTACTCTCCCAACTGAAAGCAGCTTTCCTTTCCATCTAGGAGTACTAAGTAAATTTTCTATTCTTTTTCTTCTAGATGTTTTGGATAATGGTTGAGTAGTTTCAAGTATGGGAAGGACAAGTATCGAAAGGGGCAAGTATTCGCTCCACAACCCATAAAAGAGAGTACTGGTACTCAAACTCCTTTACCTATCTAAAGTAGAAAATGTTACTTTTGTAGAAATTTATTTTAATACTCAATAGCTATTCAAATGTTAACTTCAGTTTTAGCTTGCTCAATGTCATGGTCCACAAAAATAGTCATATATCATCTACAAATTGTAGGATACATAATCCTTCTTCTACTAAGTGAGGAATGGCCCCTTTTAATTTGGCCACCTTCCTTAGCCCCGGCAATGATAGAAGGTAGCATATTCACAACTATATTAAATATAATTGGGGATTAGGTATCACCTTGCCTAAAACCCTTCATTATTTGCGCCTTAGCTGTTCATTAACCTTAATCCCTACATCACCTCTTTGAACAATAGATTTCATATAACTACACCAAGGTTTGGGAAAACCTTTCATTTTAAGGGTTTGCTGCTAAAAAGCTCAACTCAACTTTATTATAAGTTTTCTAAAAATCAATCTCGAAATCAATCTCGAATGTAAACCTATCAAACATTTCAAGGACGGTAATTTTGATATAAAATTTATTTTTATTCGAGTTCATATAAAAAATTATGAATTATTTTTTAATACAACTATTTGTAAACACGATCATCTTAAGCTGCTTATCTCTAAAAATTGATATTTAGAGACGGGCGCCTAGAATGTCCGCCTCTCTTAATAGCGATTTTCAGAGTCATGCATCTTAATCTTAAGTTTTTTTAAGAAAAGTAATCTTAATATTTTCACATCTGAAAAACAGTTTACAGAGACAGGCGTCCTAAGGTGACCGCCTCTGTTAATCAATGATTTTCATAAGACATCCGCCTTTGTAAAAGATTTTTAGAGGCCGACATTTTCCCGGAGGCACCCTAAGTATTTAAGGAGGCGGTCACTAGATGTGCCAGCATCTGTTAATAGTCAAGTAGGCTATCCGCAAAAATCATTTTTATTGTAGTGACGTCTTCATGCTATGGTTGGACAAGAGTTGTTCCAACTTATATGAACACGGATCATGACTCCAGGTCACGTACAGGACATGAGGGCGTAAAGATAGGATTGTTGTATCGGAGTTGGATTAGGTTTATTGACATGTGGAGGATGGCTCCGAGGTGATGAGTTCCTAGAAGCGTTAGGAGAACTTTTTGCTCTTTAACATTACACTACCGAACTATCATTGTCGTTATTTTAGAACCGGCAATGATAGAACATCACTAACAGTTCATGGTTTTTCAACCGATAGTGATAGATGACCTATCACTGTCGGTTCATGGCTTCAACCGACAGTGATATGATGTGCACTATCACTATCGGTTGAAGCCACGACACTGTCAGTTTGTGGCTTCAATCGACAGTGATAGACTTTTTTTGGCAAAAAAAACCCATAACTTCTTCATATGAGATTGGATCAAGATAAACTTTCTATATCAAAATTGTAGAGTTTTAAAAATTCTAAAACTTTGTAGTTGACTTTTAAATTTGAGTTGGTTTACAAGTCCAAATATTTAATATAAGTTCTCGGATCAGAATTTAGATGATTAACAATGTCAAATGGAGACAAAGTCGTGATCAAAGTTGTAAGTATTTGACAAGATATATAACTTTGCAATCAATAATTTTTCATTTGAGATCATTTAGAGTGTCAAATATATAATATAAGATTCAAAATTACGTAGTTAAAAGAATAGCGTCGACTATATAGTCACATGTATCACGTAACTTAGCTCTGGTTTGTGCGCTTGAGGGAATGATGTTGAGGTCTTGACTTTGAATCATGTTCTGAGACATTGTTAGATAAATAGATATAAATTAATACTTTTTATATACCCACTCCAACTTAAAAAATGACTTCTTATAAAGTAAGACATGTATTAGATGAAAGTATTGAGTTATATGTACTTATCAGTTTAACCTAAACTTAAGTTGATGGGAAAAATGGATAATGCATTTTGTATTTCAACGGAGAAGACCATTTCAGTCTCACCGCATCA